AGTTTTTACGAATAGTACTTAACTAACTTTACTTATGAGTACTTTGTGATATGAGTAACCACTATAATTTCATTTGTTTATAATAGACTCAATGGAAAACTTTGGAATTTCTTCTCAGTGATATAGAAGCCCATATTTGGGAACTTTTGTGTTAGCACAGCAGGTTAGGTTAGGTCCGAAAAGCGCGTGCTGACAGTTGTCAGCATTTTTACTCGGAGGCATATATTGCACATTGTGCTGCCCTCAAAAATTTTGCCGGGAAAGGCGAGTTGTTAACCTTGAGAAGATCCGATAAGTTTGCTTTTATTATCTCTTCCAATTCAGTGAAAAAGTAATCGCTAAGACATTGAAATCGCCTTGTCTGTAGTCCTGGACAGAGACACAGAAAATTGTTGATAGATTCTACTTCCTCTTCATCTTGGCAACTCCTGCATAATCCACTTGTTAAAACTCGTTACCGTTGGAGCATAGGCGCAATGGCACAGTGCCCCATTATTGCTCCAGTAAGTACACGAACTGCAGGTTTGCTAAAACCTAAAGCCTAAAAGGCTTTTCATTTTAATTTTTTCCAAACTAGGCCATAAGGTTCTAGCGACCGCACAGTTAGTCCATAAATTGTTAGTCACCGTATTGGTGATTTCCTCTGTTATGTTAAAGAGTTCACATATCGCTATCATAGCAACTGCTTCATTTTTTTAATATCAGTAAAACCTCGTCCTTTATAGCACTTTTGCAGTTACACTAACTTACTTCTATTATTTGAAGTGTAGTTAGTTCAAAAATAATAGGAGTTTCAATTTGGTCCCAGTTCAATTTAGATAAACTGCACTACATATTAAAAATAACGAGTGTGCCTTATAAGCAACTGTTTGTTATATCTATAAAACTGAAATACAAGAAATAAGTTCAAGACCACTGATGATAGGTATTTGGTAATACTTGAAACAGCTGTATGTAATTAACTAATTAATCGTTGTAGTTCTCTGTAAAAAGCTGTATATATATATATTGCATTTGATTTGAGAGAGTACAAATCTGAGTGTTCGCTTTAGATCTTTGATTCATATATGAGAAGTTATGGAAAAAGTGGAATTACCGTAAAAGATTATAAACATAATTTGTCATAGCGTCAATATTAAAGTACTTCCCTGTATAGTACCCTTTTAACTGATGACATTGTTTAGACGGACATAATCAACCCTATATACAAAAAATACGATTGCATGATGTCTTGCATGAAACTAATATTACTATGGACACTAAACTACGGATTTGTGATAAATAAAACCTGTGCTATCCTACCTATACCTTCATGCAATATTTTTAAAATACAATCAAGTGAAACATTTACAACTTGCGAAGTCTTTGAATTTTTATTGGATTATCATTCAATATCATACGACGCACTTAAGTTGCCTTCATGTATAGTTACCACTTAAAACAAATAGTGGACCACAAAAAAAAATTATTATAAGTAATTTCATTAACTACTATAAGTAGATATTTTTAAATATTCCCAAACATTGTTCATAAAATCTATGAAATATATTTTCCAAGACTCATATATATCATATTTACAGGTAAAACTTTTCGAGACCCCAACATATGTTTCAGTTTAAATTCTATGGCAGGTGTTTAATAAACGTGTTAGTCTACTCTAAAAACCTTTTACTATTAAGTTCTCAATAGTTTTGTGGGAAGAGTGCCATAACATCGACAAACACAACGCTAATATATTTTCTTATTAAAATTTTTTTAGTTCTGTATGTTTTACATTTCTAAGCTTATTTATATCAGTACTTGGAATATGAATATTTTTTCCATAGCACGTACTCAAAATAATTTCTTAAAAAATATAAGTAAATAAGTTTATTTACTCGTGAAAATAATTAATTTTGAACTGCAGCAAATTTTCATTTTTAAAATGCAATTTATTGCTTTGTTGTACTCATACATTACCGAGTTTTTAACCCACTAAAGTACAATAATTTTTCTAAATTTTAAATAAACAAAACCAGACTATTATATTATTAAAAGTCATTATAATTTTTTTAAGTGAAGTTTATAAATTTCTTACAAAAAAGTATTTATAAAAGAAGATATATCTAAATATATATAATATTTCAAAATTTTATAAAAGATATAAAAATGGTGTACTATCACAACTTAAAGGGCGACACTAGATTAGATTTAGAATGAGTTGAGAACTCTGCCACCACGTCACTGCATCCTTCGACAAACCCACTTTAGTACCACAGGCGCATAGCAGTTAAAAATGCCATTATGTCTCTAAGAGGAATGTTGCCTAATTCCTTTATAAGTGGATAGGTAGTTGACAAATACCGAAGTGTGAGACTGGCGAGACTTTTCCACTTTTTCATGACAATGTCTGCAACTTTTGTCTCTAATAGATTCTAATACCTAGATTTGTCAAATGTTTTTTGACTCCACAATGTCCAGAAAAAACCCTATAACAAGTCGGATACTTTTCTTGTTCAGCGATGGTAGCTCCCTAGTTCTGGTTTTTAATTGATTTGGTATGTATTCCTGGGATCCATATTAAGTGGACCCTGTTCCTTACAGCAAGACCTTTGAGAATGTGAAGGCATTCTCACACTAGAGGTGAGCGTAAAGCTAGGAGTGCTGATTTTTGTCAGAGAAAATATGTATTATTTTCCCCGTGGTAGGTTTCCCTTTATATCCCCTTTGACATAGTTCAATTACATGTACTTCGGCCTGAAAAACTGAGCTTTCTTAACTGATACTCACAAATATTTCTTCTTTTGGTTTAATCTCATAGACCCACAATCCCACTCCTTCCATCATTTTGGAGCCATCCGTGTACCGCAGATGGTGAATCTCCAACAAATGAGGGTATGTTCCATTCTTAGTCATTTCTGTCTACTATTAGTGCACGGAACTTTTGGTGGAAGTTAAATTTAGGTGAACAAATGTCAGATATGATCGTGCTTAGTCCTTTCTCTATTTGCATTTCCTTATATAAATATAAGTTACCGAGTGATCTTGTTGAAGGTCTTAGCTTCTTGCTTGACAAGTAGGTGTGGTAGTGCGAGCCCCAACAAGATCGTCAATAAAGACTAAAAATTCAATCGACGGCGGATGATCAAAAAATTAGTGAGACTTTTATATAAAAAATTGATTTTATTTAGAAAAAACATACCTTTTGTTCAACGTTTATTATTCAACTTATATTAAATATTTTTTTTAACATTAGCCACTACTGTACAATACAAATTTTAACAATAAAAATTATTTAATTACAAAAATGATTTTGTGTGTTGCATACTTTACGGATCAAAATAAATTTACGTTGATTATGTGTTATTGTTATTAATTTATACAACAGCATTTCTATTATATACCTGTCATCAACAAATAGGTTAATATATGTAGTGATAACGTAATTACAAATAAAACCACAAGCCAATTCCTGACCAACAAGAATCTTAATAAGATTATAATATACCCAGTAGAAAAAGGATGTATCCGCCATTAATCATGGTTCCAAGTTACGACGCTTTCACGGGTGACAAATGTATAAGAAACATATAAAAGACAATGACACCTTCACATAAAGGATGCATCATAAATCACTGACATTGTGCTTCAAGTTGTCTGCATCCAAAAGTTCAAAAATTATGTTTCACTACCATAATCCGTCGTAGTTTGAGAAAAGTCTTTAGTTTAAATCCAATATGAATTATTTACCAATATTGTGAAGCCTTAATACGCCAATTCAGTTATCTTCTTTTGATACATATTGACTTATTAACACTCTTCTTATATCTATAATTAGATTTTAAAAACTTTTATTAAAATAACTAAAACTTCATTTCAAAATATTGTTATAAACATCAAAACTGTTATATTACTCAGGCAATTTTCATTACCAGGAAGCGCCGGCAAACACCCAGAATATTAAAGGTAGAAGAACAAGAAATAGATACTCTCAAATACCTAGGCTTAACCTTTACAAACAAACACTCCTGGAAAGCACATTTGAAGTCCAAACGAGCTCAAGCTGCCCGAATATTACACTCCCTTCACCCGCTCATCAGTAGCAAAAAGCTAAACATAAAGAATAGAGTTAGCATATTTTAGCAGATTATTAAACCAGGACTACTCTATGGCAGTATTGCGTTTTGCCAAGCGCCATACTCAACTTTAAAAATTCTTCAAAGAGGGCAAAATATTGCCTTAAGAAAACTGGTTAACGCCCCATGGTACGTAAGAGAAGCGGATATCCACAGAGATCTGAGAGTCGATTCAGTCGAAAAATACATTAAAGATCGTGCTCTGAAACTGTTCAATATAATTGACAGTCACAATAATTCAACACTTAACATCCTAAAAATACAGCGAAATTTGATAAACACAGGCAGATACAAAGACATCAGATCCATCATATTATAAAGCCCCGTTTTCAGTTATTCTTAGTGTGACTTCAAACTGTCCACAGATAAAATAGAGTAAAGGTGCTGATTCACCAACTCAAACATCTGAATATCAATATATATATTATTCGAATCCAAGATCTTCCAATAATAATGATCTATAATAATCTGTATACTCTTGCATTTTAAACCTGTTTCTTGAGGTTTTTTATTAATTTTAATAAAAATCAGGATTCGGTCTTCCAGAGTTCATATAGAAACATAAGAAGTAAAGACTTTATCGGCCAAGAACATTGCGGTAAGCTTTTAATGACAGTCAGAATTGCAGTGTTGGAAAAGTCTGACTTATAAAGTGGCCGTATAAGATAAAATTCCTAAATGCAAAAAGCTTAGTTTTTTTATTTAAACTAGAATAAGGAATTGCTTTGATTGATGTTGGCATACACTTATCATCAAAAAAAAAATTAGTTGCTTTTAATCTCATTGTAAATTTAAGTAATTTACCTTATTTTTGTAATGTAAAATATTTGTTTCTGTTCGCATTATTTAATTTATTTATATCTTCTTTCTTTAACTCCGGGTGCATTAGTCACTACATTGACGTTTAACAATTCGGAAATAAAAATCATAAGCACAAAAAGGAAGAAGAGACTTATCAGTCATCTCTTCAAATACACCACCATGCAAATGGTAAACTGCTTTTGGTCTATAGATGAGGGATAATAGAGGACTACGTGAACTGATGCGTATATTTTCCATAAGATAAACTCCTTTTTTCATTGGACAATTGAAAGAGTAATTGCCTTGTTTGAGTGAAGCGTTTAATATTGTCTTCAACATTGGAACCTTTTTCAAGAAACTTTGTACGTCACAAAGTTTAGTTGTAATATTATAAAGTGTTGTCCCACGTTCTCCATCTTCTTTTTGTTCCAAAGATAGATGTGTTACAGGTGAGGGAATTTCTTTGTTCACCGTTGTAACAGTATTAATCACTCCTTTTGGATGAAAGGTCATGTTGACAACAAAATGTGGACGCCGATCGATCCAGGTTGTATTGATGAATGTAACAATATGACAAGGACTCTATTAGAAATACAAGAGCATTAAATATAAAAAACTTAGGGTAAATGAAAATAAATTATTAATTACTATTGTTTTATTGAAAAAATTTACATACACTTTTGGCACTTGCAGTCAACTGTAGACATAGAAATATGAGTTCAGTAATGTACACCAAACAAGAAAATATTTTAACGTTTTTATTAAACATTGAAATTTTTTAAAATATTAAATATTTTAATAAACTATTTATTTCAGTCAATCCGTATAAACTATACATAAACTAAAAACAATATAAGATAAATATTTTGTTATAATTTTAAACACTGACTTTTAAAAAAATATGATTATAGTAATCGTACTCTTACTGTACAAGCGGTCATATGAACGGAAGATTTTACTTACTTTAATATAATATATTTTAACTCCTTAACACGAGTACCTAAAATGAAACTATCACATTAAAAAGAAATTAATCGAATTCGGAAATAAAATCAAAATTGATAAAATGACTAATTGGCAAAATGTTGACCTGACCCTATTGCTCACTAATAAAGTTGCTATATACACAAAAAAACTGCATCTAATCTGAAAATTGTATATTTAGTGTGGGATTGTGGTAGCTCAATAAATAAAAGCTTTAACATCCATAGTGATTTTGGATTTAAAGAATAAATGGGTCAACTAACGAAGCTCTACCTAATACTCACTAAGTTTTCCTTGTTTCCCTTCACTCTGAAAAAATATTTATATATAGTTTTATTATTTCGTTAATTGTTCTTACACAGGGCATAGGGAATAAAGGAATAGTCCTTCTATCTGTCTCGGTCTCGGCAAGAAGTGGTCTAAATTGCTCGGTACAATTATTCTAATTCATATAGCATGGATGGATATAGTACTTGAAAATTAACTTAAATTATTTGTTAGATGTCTATAAAATATCATATTTAAATTTGATTAAATAAGTAACTCAAAAAATAATTAAAAATTACTACACGACCTTATGTAGCTCCAAAATCAATTAAAATTAAACAAATATCCAATAATTGTATTTGTCGTGTATTGGGTAATTTGATTACTAATACGTTATATTATATTTCTTCATTAAATACTCGTTAACTATTGGTAAATAATATCTATAAATAAACTTATTTTTTGTTTTTATTTTTAAATATTTAGTGTTTTTAATTGAACTGCAGTGAGAGGGAAAATGTTGTTATTAACAAAGCAAATAAATTAATAATTATATCAAGACTTTACCTCCTATAAATATAGGACATCTAAAATTGGGGAAGAGAAAGTGAAGGAGAAAGGAAAAAAAATAAGATAAACTATATCCGTAAATAATGTCAAACTGCTAATTACTATAATATCAGAATTTCTTATTTATATATTTGTTTCAAAGGTTAAACTTATATATATTAATATAATTAACACAATATTAATAAGAGAAACACAATAGTAAACGATATAAAGCGTATGTGTTTCTGTCCTTTTTTTAATTAATAAAGAAGTTATTATGTAAATTCATTATTTTCTTTCATATAAATGGGACACCGTCTGTCTGTCCTAATATAAGTTTTCTGCATATTTATCTAACAAAACCAGCGAATGTATATATATTTCGTCCAAAAACGTAAATTAAATGCCAACGGATACTTACCTCAGAGATGATCTATGAATCTTTATATATATATTATATATTGATGATTAAACGTATGTGACCAACAAACCGAAATAAATATGACTATTTTTACTAATACTATTTCTGGAAAATTTGCATTAGAACCTAAAACTGTATTGTGCCCCTTCATGCATTTAGAGTATTTTTTTCAAGACTAACTTCCTCTATAAATTGTAGTATTGAACGTACATATATAACGGATGATATATTTTTTTTATCCGATACGAGATCTGGCACATGTTTTGAGGCCTCATTCGCTCCCTTATGAAGCTTACAAGTGTGATTAAATTTGGTTCCCAGTTTTATAAAGTGATAGTTTGACCTACAGTAACCAATCAGAATTCATGTAATGATACACTCATAAAAATAATTTGTTTGATTAGACCTGATTTAACTAAATCTCCGACTAAAATATTCTAACTCGTCGTATTATGTTGGTTCAATCATACAACATGTTAGTTTCCATATCTTTTTTACCACATCAACTAAAACTTAGTTGCATTGAATCCTTAAGCCGTTAAAGATTGATTTCGGCTGTGATAGCCACGGTAGATTATGCCAGTGGATAACTTTATTTTTTTCTCTCCTCTTCTTTTGAGAAAAGGTGAAAAAAATTACCTCCTCCAAAACCACTTAACGATTCCGAGCCTTCATGCAGGTCCTTATATAATATATAACATTAGAGATAAATATTTTTTATATACATAATAGAATCCAGATACATTCACGCTTTACTTTTGAAATTTTTTCGCTCAAGGTTAAGACTTTATGTGAATAGATAAATTAAGAAGAAATCGGGCAAACACCTAAAAGCGTTTTTGATTTTAAGCAAGGTCTACTATGATATTTTTGTTTATAGTAGGGACCACAAAGTCTAAGAATAATAAACTGTATGACTACTTTAATATGCTTTATGTATGTCTGGTATAATGTATAATGAATTATATGAGCGCTATGTGTGTTATATGTTATAGGCTATAAAATAGGTATATAATAACTTGAAAATTTTTTGTGCTTATTTTCTAATATGAAAGGTCTCAATAAACAAACTTTAAACTATGTATCCTTACCTGTTAAATTTGATTTATGGACCATTTGTAACAATCTTGCGGACCACCGGTTGCGAACTACTATTCTAGAGGAACTCAGTAAACTACAGAACCTTTCCTAGTCTAAATAGCATCTTAGACGTTTTAAATAACTTTATATAGCAGGACAATAAGATAATAGCTCTACGCAATAAATACTTCTATGTATTTACTTTTAAATATTTCTATGTTCTATATATAAGACGTAGAAGTCATTACTTAATTTGTAGATTCATTATTTATTCATTATATAGAATATCAATATGATTTCTTAAAAACAAAAAAGTCAAAGAAATATAATTTCGAAATTGATTTATATTATCCGATGTATTTTTATAACTATATTACTATTGCGGGGATTTTAAAACATTTTTCTAACAATGTTTTAATTAACATTATTATCCGTGATCATCTTTTTTGAAAGTATGGAATGGTTACTAAAATTTACTTAATATCTTTGCAGATTTTAAAATATAGTTAATGCTGAAATCATATATAATTCCTCATCATATATAATTTCCTAAGTACACAAGTGACCGGATCTGGACCTAATATTAATGTTATTAACTAATATTAAACTAAGAACAAAACCGTACTTATATAACTACTTAGATTTATCATATCATACTTTTCAAGTACATATGTACCTACATACGTACTTGATACATATTATTGGTAATATAAGAAATTTATTTTTATTCATAAAAAATCTATATTTAATCAATATATATATATATGGTATATATAAAGCATATTATTCAGTTTCTTATCATCACAAAATATATTTAAATAATATAACAATATAACAATAAAATTCAACATAAAAGTAATAAAATTACTTTAAATTTTTAAAAACATTTTTAAATATATCATTTAAAATATATTAAACTTTTCTGCCAATGTTAAAATGTCTTTAGTTTTATTTGATATTTCTGCGACGCCACTGTTTTTATTAAATATACTAATATCCAAGTCCTTAAAATCTTCCGGCAAGGTGCTACTATCAGCTAATATAATTTTGGTCATAAAAAGTGCATGAGGAATCTGTATGTGGCCTAAACCATTTACTTCTGCCAAAAATCTGGAAAGAAAATATTAAAAAATAATTAAAACATAGAAAGTAAATTTAAACGAAACATTGATTTTTTATAATTAGTGAAAATTTTTCATTAATATCTACTAGATAGTGCTTATAAATTATATCCAATATAATAATTTATAACATGTCCTTGTATTTATGTATACATACATTTGCATACTAGTGGGTATAAGGATGTTTTCTGTATATTTCTCGTAAAATCCTATGCTAATTTCTATATTAAAGAAACGAATAAAATCTTATAGGAGGAACCCCACTTTCAATATTTTCCAAGATACACGATATTAAGTCTAGATAAAAATTTTCTATATCTTGAAAATGTTTCAAAGAAATAACATGACTATCGAGTTTTATCCATTCAATTTTATTAAATTTCCTGCTTAATACATCTATAAAATAAAATAGGTTTAAAAATTTCAATAGTTTAAAGTTCTTTGAATTTTTCGAAATGTTTGTTTTTTCAAATTTTTTTAAAATAGTTTTTGATTAATATATTTTTCATATATCAAGAACTTAATATCTTGCAAACATATTCACCGAACAATTTCCCTTCTATCACATATAGTTTTCTTACAATCGTTATTTAAATCTCGGCGCCTATTATGTTTTTTCGCTGGATGTTATGGGTGGATGAAAATAGGCACCCCAACACGATTTTGTTTGGTTCTTGAATCAAAAAAAGCTCAGGAATATAAGGGAGGCAAATTAGATTATATCAGAAGTTGAAATACTTGGTTCTCGACTTCTGGCTGTACTTCACAAATAATACATAGACAAAATATCGATATATTATCTGATAGTCAGACTGTGATTAAAGTATTGATATAAAATTATATTTAAGCTGAATGAAGAGATATCCAGTATATTATGTAAACTTATTACAATAAAAAAGTGTATATATTATAAAAGTTAGTATACACTAAAATTCATGACAATGAAATAACTGATAAGCCGGACTTTAAAATGCATAAACTGACAACGTAAGGAACAAAGATAATGATTCCAGATATTGCATAGCAAATAAACGATTGATCCAAGACAATTTAGCATTATTTGACAGAGCTATAATTCTGAACATTATAAAAGTGACTTAACAACATTAATTAATGAGAATCAAATATATAGATATTATATGCTATGAAGGAAAAACAATCAATTGCATTATAGCATAATAGGTCAGAGTAGTTAACTAAAGTAAAGATCGCTCAAAACAGAAATGGATTACGGAATTACGGACTAGAAGGCAAAATATCTGCGCCTATGATATTGGAAGACGAAAGTTTAGAATCAAGATGATGGAGACACTACTTCCAAAAGGCAACTTACAGAGTTATCTCACCAATGATTATGATAATAATAAAAATTGTGAAATGGAACTTAATACACCTCCTACTGATATTGTTAGAGTATGTTAAAAGGAAAAGTACATGCAAAAAAATCCTAGAAAATTACTATTTGTCATCGAAAGAATAAGGTTAGAATTGAAGAACTATTAGTTTCAACAAATTATAGATGTAGTGCACTACTAAACCTATATTATCTTATCTTGCAATAGTTTATGAAAATTATCAGGAGCTGTGTTTTATTGCGAAAACAAAAAATATTTGAAATCAGAAATGTTTACATCATTGAAGCGCAATTTTTAATCTTGTATTGATAAATAAAAAGAAAATGATTGCATTCCAATATATTGTTAACAATTCTACTAATTAATTTCATATTTGCACATCACGTTTGATAATAAAATTTATCAGGAAATCAATGTTGACTGTGTTATTGACAAACAGCGGCAACTACTACTACAAAAGCACGAATATTTAATTGGTAATCAAAAAACACTTACAGATCGTAGGAATACTGAGTAGTTGATACATGTAACTTCTCCAAAGTTTCAATAAAGGTGCTATAGTATAACTGCAAAAATTCGTAGTAACATTCGGATAAGATTTTAGTGTCTACGCTGGAGAACAAGAAAAATATAATGTCGTGGACTAAGGAATCATATTGCGCTATTTGAAAATCAATAATTTTTAATTGACTAGGATGACCATCCTTATCTGAAAAAAAAAATTTATATTAGTTGAATGTATATCATTTTTACATTAATTTTCATACCATATTGTACCATTAAATTATTAATCCACATATCATTGTGCATTATTGTTGTAAAAAGTCCATCTTTTTTATTAGGTCCAGCTAAAAAGTCATCGTAAATTTCCATTAGTTTTCTTACACGAGCAACGGTCTTTTCATTATTGTTGGTGGAACGTTCTACTTCCTTATATGTTTCCTTAAAATAAAATTATTTATTTATTTTTTAACTTTAAAACAATATATAAAATAAATTAAAATTTTAAGTGTACATATATTTGTATTAATAATATAATGCAGCCTATCTTTGAGCTATGACAAAAGACGACCTTAACAGTTTTATTCGACAGCTTTCGAAGGTTCTAGACTATTAAAAAAATTTAATTGCTGTCGTAGGTTACTTTTATGCAGTTTTTGGAACTTAAATTAACAGACCCTAGATATTTAGTGCTATTTCTAGTCCGAACATAACTAGTTTTATACATGTTCTAATACTTCCTGATCACCACAACAGACTCTACAGGTCATCGGTATCTAAAGCAATTTTTTTAGGTAATATTTAAGTTGACGCTGGCTTGTCATTAGTTTAGTCTTTAATATTTTCTACTTTAATCCGTGTAGAGTTTTTTTGCTTGCCGAGCTCCTTTTTGGGCTTTTCGGAAATCAATAAATATATTTTCTTTACTTTCGGGAATTACGTGGTTTTTGAAACTATTGTGAACTCCGCACTCCGATTAAAAATTGCTTTCAACTTTTTTAGTTGAACATTCTTTTCATTACCTTTGCATCTCTTATGGCTTGATATGTACATTTTACATCCAGTTCTTTCTGGACAAAGTTTGTACAAATTTGAGTCTTTCGTAATTCAATTTCAAGGTTCACATCTAAACACAAGTAGAAATAATACTTATGAACTCTGTATTTATTTATTGAACTACATATTGCATTACATTCATATTGTATTGATATGTTACTCGTCTTCTATATTTTGACAAACATCGGGAGTACTATATATCTGTTTATGTATTTAATTTATAATTTTCTTTTTATATTAACTTTAACTTACTTCATTCATTTCTGCTCTCGCTTCTGGTGCCATTGATTCATTTATATTAAAGCGATGAAAATATGGACGTACATATTTCTCGTAATCCTCTGGTTTCTTAATGCGCAAGGCTATTGGCAATGCATGAAATTGTGCCATATTCTTTAAAACCAACACTGTATGTGCCAAATCAAATGCCTGCTTCCTATTACCTGCTTTAAAGCCAGAAATTTGCACATTCTCTTGTACTAAAACAGCATCTCGATCTACAACAGTTGCTTCTGGATTCAATGAAATCCGTGATCCATAATAATGTGGAAAACAATCGAAAATTTCATTTTCTTTAATTCCAGCCCCAACTTGCAATTGTCGTATCATGGGTTTGGCATATTTGTAAACAGCATTTTCTGTAATGCAGGTTCGTTCCGGTTGAAATATGTTCCAGTAGAAATCATTTGTTAATGGCGGTAATTTTGCTATTAATGGTAGCTCTTCAATATTTCCATTTTTACGTTTAATGGTGGCTCTTACTGATAACATAATACTACCATAATTTTCACCAGGTTTAGTAAGATAACGGCTGGTGTAAGATAATATTTGGTCACCATTTAAATGTGGTTCTATTACACTTTCTAAATCAATTATTTTTGGTGGATCCATTTTCTATCAAAGATAAGAATTATTTAAACTTTAGTTTATTGAAGATATTAGCAAATGGTTAAACCGATATTTCTTAGCAAATAGTTAAACCGAATATACTGAATTCCTAGTTCTAGAAGTTAGAAGTTAAGTTAACTGTGAAAAAATCATAAAAATAAAATAAACAATTTAAAATGTTTAACATTTTATCTGAAGTTTTTCATCAAGATGCATTATCTATCGTTGTTTACTATATGGTTGTTGTTTTCACATTTAAATATTAAGGAAGTGAAACGCTAAAACCAACATTTCTATCAAGACGACCTAACAAGTGATCTTATTTTAATTGCGAAAATTTTGTGGAACTGAAATAGAATTTAATGGATTAGTTTAAATGAAAGTTAAACAACATATACAAAGATAAAGTCGATAGGTACATCATTAACTACAATTCATATTAAAAGTTTTCAATTTTAAAACGCGGGTCATTATAAACACCTAGAAAATCTATTTAATAAAGCAACTAATACGCCAGGAAGAATAATGCCTACATGGCATCCGCCCATAAAAAAAAGCAGTTGATATGTACAAGACTTTGCTTATTATGAGAAAAATCATTAGGTTGCTAAAATAATGCATACAATAATTATATCCAGTAAAACAACTATACAGATCTATAGGGTTTTGCTTCCAATGAAAAAAAAAGGTTATGATAAAGTATGATTTCTACACCAATAGTAGAGAGTTGTACAGAACTTTGATTTAGTAATTGACTAATTTAGTAATTTCGCAGACAACCATAAGTTATACATCATAAATCGAAGAAGTAACAGTAAACTAGTAAGGTAAACTGAGATACAATAATTATATCCCGTAAAACAGCTATACAGATCTATAGGGTTTTGCTTCTAATGAAAAAAAAGATGCATACAATAATTATATCCAGTAAAACAGCTATAGAGATCTATAGGGTTTTACTTCTAATGAAAAAAAAAGATTACAGTAAAGTATGATTTCTACACCAATAGTAGAGAATTGTACAGAACTTTGATTGTAACTAATTTAGTAATTTCGCAGACAACCATAAGTTATACATCATAAATCGAAGAAGTAATAGTAAACTAGTAAGGTAAACTGAGATAGTAAAAATATGAAAAGATTATTTGACTTACATATTACATACCATATAACGCAATGAATATAAAAAAGGCTATATAAAAAAAAGTTAGCTATATAGTTTCTATGATCATTTGGCGATAAAAAAAAGACCCTTTATGAAATCGGGTACTACGTTTTGTTGTTTCTGAGCGCTGATATGCAACCATAAATAATATGCAACCAAAGTAGCCAGCTAAGCTAATCATAGGAAGCCAATAGAAGCAACTAAAGACGCAACAGTATTTTGAGAAAAAGTGAGAACTATAAATATGGATTATAAAGTATTTAAAGTATGAAATCACAAAAACAAAATGGACTCACTCAAGGAAACAACAAGTGATCTACATACAACGTAAGTACTACTATTGTACATATAGACAACTGATAAGCATGGTACTTGTGATTGTTCCTAAAGTCGTGTTATTTCATATAGCTTATCTTCTACTACCATAATCTGTTCAGAAATTCTAAAAAGTTGCTCCGAAAAACTTGATTCGAGTGATGAAGTAATCGTTTTAAGAAAATTTATTTTGAATGTCTCTAAGCATAGTTCTACGAGAAAAGTGTAGAAATATTTTAATTGCTTTAGAGTGAAATATATAGATTATATATAAATAGTAGAATATATTGATTATTATATCAGATATTTTTGCTCAAAATCATGAAGTTTTTTTATGACACACGAAAAGCTTTTCTGCTTATCTGCTTATCTTTATCGGCGAATAAAGGAGAGTTGCGCTTTTTTAAATATCCATCAACATTGATAATTAATATAATTTTTTTTATATTTATTATTACACATTTTCAAATAAAAATTTGTTATAAATATTGTTTATCATTAAAAAAAAAAAAATAATTACAAAATTTTATTTTTACAAACTTTCAGTGACTTTTACTTTTAATATATAATATTTGATTTGTGATTATCAAACTTAAGTGAGATTGGTTTCATATGCTTGATAATGCAAAAACCTGCTTGTCATCCTGATATGAAATGTATGAATAAAAAATATTTTACTTTTTAATTGCAATGTTAAACAATATTTGTAAAATGAAAAATATATATATAATTATCGCTACACGTATATCTATACAGCTGGCCTGAATATTCAACACTAATTAAAACTGTTTTTTTTTGATAAAGAAATATTTTTTTTTATATGTAAAGGCTTGTCCTTTAGATAATAAAAGTGATAAAGATATTTTTAAAACTTTTTTAAAATTTTGAGCATATAGATTTTAGAAGTATTATAGATAGGCAAAGAATTAAATAACAGATATTGAACAAAACATATGTTATAAGAACAAATACAACAAATATGGTTTAGGGATTTAAATATTTAAAATTCTTCGCAAAGGGGCTTGAAAACTGAAGAAAAATTTCAACTAAAATTTTATAAGACATTGTGAAATAGTTCAAAATGGGTACATAAACGTTTTAGATAAGTTTTCTTCAATATTCACACATACTACATAAGTATAAGATTGTTCGGAAAGAGTAATTTCTTCTTCTTCTTCTTCTTATAGGAAATAAATATTATAGGGAATAAATATTTTTCTATACTCCTGGTAGTAGTATGATTTCACGCTTATAAAAGTTTTGTTCTTTATTGGTAAAAAACTGATTCAAGTGATTTTTAGCCACTCCATTTGAAGCAAAGTTTGACCCGTTTAAAAATTATAGATACCAGTAAATCATAATAATGAACACATGTGAAAAATATGTTGGTTATGGCAGTACATTTTTATCAAACTATAAAAACTTTTCGCAAGTCGTATAAGGTCTTGCATATCTTAGTGAACACTATATGTTTTTTGAACCATCTTGGCCGATAGAAACTAAAAAAAAATCATTAAAATCCCACTTAGCATGTAGCACCACCTTTATTGTTAAGAATATCGATTTTCGAGATGGTTCATTTTGAGCTGGTACATATTTTTTACCTTGTATGAAACTCAGTTATAGACAACCAATATTTTGTCTCCAGTGATAATGTTTAAAAATATTTCATGAGAAGCAAGTCCCAAACGCCGTGGCAGGCATAATTCCTTCCCGTAAGAAAAACTTTATAAATGATCCCGAACGATTGAACTCACCGGTTTTCATTAATTAACACTTTATTGTATTGTATATTTATTCATTTACTTTAACTGAACGGAGCATAATTATGCACATCTGTTTTGGCAGTGTCGTTCTGTCAATACATATTTTCCAAACACATTTTTTTTTGTGGTTCTATAGCATTTTTCTTCTTTTACTTTCAATATTTGAAAAGGCACCAATCAAAATCTGCTCAATCGAATTATTCAGAAGCAAGCTATCAAAATATATAATAATTATGCGCCTTTAGTCTGAAGCTAGTTGTCAAAAAATAAAATCCACTTTTAGGAAAAACGAAACTACTTCCCAAATAACCCACTGTACTCAATTAAATATATTAACATATTTGGAACACAATTAAGGAGATTAGAGATTAACGAGATCTCGGAAACTATCTTCTTATTTATATTCTTGATCATATTCTTTTTACAAAACGAAACAAACCGATTCTTTTATATTTTTCCATCAGAGGTACAAGATACTAGAGTTTAGATGTACTCATGAAACTTCTTCCCCTTGAATAGATGAAGCTTTCTTAGATTCACATTCGTACAGTATTTAACTCGTTTGGCACTTGAATCAAAGCCATAGCTCACGCTATAGCTGGCCATATTCCCTAGCTTCCAAGATTTCGAAATGTGGTTTCCAACATTTTTTTTGTCTCTGCTAGTTAATATTAATTTCAAAAAAAATACAGCTTTCTGGAAAGTTGTAGGTCAATGAAGCCACCCTGTATATTATAAAGCAAATATAAACTTTTCGTTTGAAAAACTGTAGCAATTTAGGTTTCACCTGAGCACACTCGACAACGAAATTATCTTATACGTACGCATCGGTATTTATACAATATTTAATAAACTTTAAAAAAACTATTTGTTTATTCGTTCGTTTTTTATAATTTTACATTTAATTTTATTTTAATTTAAAAAATTTAATTTTTTCCCTAACAATGCATTGCATAATTTCAAATTTATTAAAAAAATGCGGAATTTTAATTAAATAGCCTTGTCATGCCATTTAGTTGGTTATTCATATTGTAATGGATGTGAAGAAGATAATAATAAAACACAACCGATCTACTAAGAGCACGTTTAGAATGCAACTACTATGTAACGCATTGCATTTCCAATATAATGATGTCAACAAAGAAAACAACAATAAAAATTACAAGTAATTATAAAGGTTCTTTTTTTTTTTTTTGTAAATACATATAATAAATATTTGACGTAAGCTAGTATAATTTATTATTAACTTATTAACAATAGCAATTTATAATAACAAACAAACGGGTTTGACAGTGATGAAGTAAATTTTAATTATCAGAATAACTTTCGAGAATGTTATCAATTTCATAATTATATTTTAGTGATCCATTAGAAGTGCTGTTAAAATGCCCATACGAAATAGGCTCCTAGGAATGTATATTCTAAAGGAAGAGGCAATAAAACTCTGTACAGTAGGTTCTATAGTACTTTTTATTGACGCAACAGGACTTAGAGACCTACTCTAAACCCAGAAGAAGGCACAATAGACCCGAAGGTCGCGGTACTATATCTCCTAACAATAATAATAATAATAATAATAACTAGAAGTAGTTATTGAATACAATTAGTTAATGAGAAGAAACACATTAAGTTACTTAAATATATATTGAAAGCAAGATTATATCTACCCAAATTGGAATAAATGAAAAGAAATATATTAAGTTATTTAAATATGTGATGAGAGCAGGATTAAATCCACTCAAATCAGAATAAATATTAGCATAACTCACGGCACTAGCACCGTTTTTGCTTTGATATATTTCTGTCCTCCATTATTATTATTATTATTATTGAGTAAGGGATCGTGCACTGCGACCTGAAAGATCTATTGTGCCCCTTTGTCGGGTTAGAGTATTTCTCCAAGTCCGATTTCTTCAATGAAAGACAGTATGGATCCTATCTTCCCCAGTCTTGAATCCTTATGATCCATGAAATACCCTCCTAGGTGTTTCTTTCGCTTATGCATCAGTGCCGGGAACTCCCCAAGCACATGGTATGCCGTTTCTCTCTGTTCCCTGCAGTATCTGCAGTCTGAGTTGGATTGAATTCCTAACTTCGATAGGTGATTATTCAATCTGCAGTGACCGATCAGTAATCCCGTCTGTCCTCCATAGAATTAAATAAAAAATTAATACAGCTTCTGAAACTTCACATAAGAGTCAATGCTGCATAGACTCCACACAGCAATACCATATCCACTTAAGATTCAAAAATTTCTGAGATTATTCAAGACAAACTTCAAACAGCAATATGCAATTTTATTGTCTAGAAACCAACAATCCTATCCAATTTAGTAAAACCATGACTATCTGAAGATACATAATTTGTATACTGCAGCCCAAAAACCATCTTCGCTAGCTGTAGACCTAAGAAATAACAGCACTCACTTTTCCTCAAATATTTTTCAAGTATATCGCAACATATCTCAAGTAACAATTAATTATTTATTATAAAATACTATTTTTTTTTAAATAATTGTCAACATCTTTCTTCGCATAAGGAGCTATCCAAATAATTAGCAACTGCAACTACAATTTAATCATTCCCTCAATGAAGTCCATAGAAATTATTGATTAATTATCGACAGCAATCCAACTTATGTAGATCACAAATGTGTATGTTAACTTACAACCTTATCACTTTATTGGTAAAATAGAACTCTTTCAAAACTTTGCATAATCGGTGTGAAATCACCGATTATACTGGCATCGGCGATCTTAAGGTATAAAGTGATATAGCAGTAATTCTGATATTTTTCATTTGCCATCTAAGCGTAAAAATTTAAACAATTCTTAAAGATAATTCAACTTGGCTTTATACCGTTATATATACAGGCCAATAATATTTTTAGTGATTAGGACTAATCGATCTTACAGATAATGGAGAATATTTTATAGAGGATAATCACATAGAAGTTATATTTTACTCCTGTCAATGCTGCACGCTTGTTGAGGCATATTATGCGTTTCTGTTAGTCGTCTAAATGCTCTTCATGCTCCTATGTGTACATTGCTTAGTATAAAGTTCTGTAACTGATTAGCTCAATTTCTATATTTCTCTATCTTAGAGTTGTAGGAACGGTACAGTAACATAAATGTGAAGCATACTTTCTTGTTACTCTTCATTATTGTAGTTTTGGTAAAAGATATAATCTAGTACAATTCAGATTGGTAACATGACTATTAATTAGATACTATCTATCCTGTTATTACTCCAGTTTTAAGATGAGAATTCTACTTTAACTAGATTATTGTTTTTTGGGCTATTTTTTTTTAGGGTATTGGTATTCTATACGGGTATTCATTTCAGCGATTTTTTTATGGTCCCAAATTTTAATGAAATAGTCAACTTACATTAGTAAAGTTATAATTGATCATGCAAATCGATTTCGAACTCTTCCGAGAAAACCCCTTAAGATATATTATTAATAAAATATAAATATAAACAGTTATTAATTTTAATTTATTTAGGGCTTCAATAAGAAGCAACGTGTTATTATTATTGTTATTACCTTTTAAAATATAAATATTTAGGTAAAAATTAAACAAAACAAAGTATTTCAAAGAATTTTAGTATTTCGTCATATTGGAAGCCAACATTGAAATATAATTGGTGTAGAGGAAGCGATTAATGATAACCTCGGTTATTGATGAAATCATTTCTAATTACACATTCTTTGTTACCGCAAAGCAATTTGTTATAAATTTAGCTTGCCTTGGTTTCAGGTTTCAACTCAACTTTTCAGACTCTATAGATAAAAAAGTTTCAATCGATAAATTACATGTATGAAGATCTAACAATACTCTTGTGTTTTAATTCATTCTCTTTAAGCATCGATAAAAAAATAGTTCCCGTCTTCATTAAACCTAAAAATTCTACAATGTTACTACAATGCAAAGCAATTAGGTATTTCATATACTGCTTAAGCTGTTGCTTTAAGTAAACGAATTTCCTGTAGATATGGTAGGTAGAATAAAAGGATTGCAAAAAGTATAGGTAAGAATCGGTATCACAATAGCTTCACTTTCAGGACCTAAGTTAACTGGCCCTAAATTGAAATATGTTTCTTTTTTCTAAACATACTTCAACTTGGCGAGAAAATCAGTTTATGAGTATGTATTACAAAGAAATTGTATTCCATATTTCAGAAACCTTCACAATTTTTCATTTTTGTAAGTTGATAGCACTGTACTATATTAACAAGTGAAATTAATCATAATTTGTCTTCATGAGTTTTTTCCAATTATACCTTTAAGTGTACTGTGAGTGTACGAAGTCATTGTTGTGTAAGAGTTTTTGAGAAGGGAACTCAACAAATGTTATTAATCAACCAAGTACTGTAGTCGTATAACATGACGCCATGGGACTTGAAACTAAACTTACTATTTCAAGGTAGACCTTACAGATCAATTGTGATCATATAAGTAAATTTGCAGTAGGAATCACTCTACAAACAAATTACTAGGGATTGAACCAACGTAGCCTAGTTGTATTTCACTCAATGGAGCCTACGTTAAAGGTTGGATGAAAAAAGTTGTGATTAATAAATAATTTTTTGTGTTTTAATTAATTATTTTAAATACTCTTCTTAAGCGTTCTACTTATACGGTTCTTCTGGGATTTGAATTGAAAAGTATTTAATTAGGTATGTATTCTGTTGACAAAGCACTTCAATTTAAGTGAGGAGAAATTAATTTTCTATTAAAACATTCATTAAAAATTATTTCGACATACTTTTTTGATTATTGAATTAAAAGAAAACAATATCTTATTTGATTAGTGTCATTTCAAAAATAAAAAAAAACTTGGAACTTGAGCATTGAAAGTTTGTGCAGTCTTAGCTATTTCTGGAGAAACATGATTAGTCATTGTTTCTAATTTGACAGCCACGAGTTCTAAGCTTAGCACTTGCAGTTCAAACAAATTATATACTAATTAAAAAATAAAATTTGAATATTTCCTAAGAGCACTAATGATGAGTAGTTGGTAATATTCAAAACAACGTTGTATGATCAGCCAAACTTCAATACATTAACTAAAATTTTTGTTGTTGTCTTTTAATTTGTATTCGAACTCTTCTATCGTTTAATTTCTTTTCGTCATAAGACGCGTCATATTC